GTTAATAGAGATCCACCTCGCCCCTCCTTTCTCCTCGTGAGTCCAAGTTCCAGAAGGCCCAGTTCCCTTAACTCCCTGTCCATGCTGGGTATAGCAATTTTGTGTAGCCTACCTGTTTGACCTTGATGTTTATTTCCAGCAGATGCATATCCATTGTTGCAAAGCTGAACTTACTACGCCTTACTGCAACGTGTAATCTACAGATTTAAAATATCCTCTACGTAAAAATATGTTTTAGCCAAATACATAGCATTTGTTTTAACCTGTATAAGTAACTCCATGAAACATTCCTTTATGAGAGTCTAATTAATAGTCGACCGACTAGTAAAGAAATTCTCCACCTTTAACGGAGTTCATCGCATATCATCGTGTTCAGAAGAGCCCTTTAGCAGAGCATATCCTGACCCTGATGGATCAAATCCACTCCTTCGAACCACAAGTTATATTTTAGTATATCCTCACGTCTACAGTTCGATATTCCTCCTGGTGGCTCTTCCCTCCAGGCATCGCACCCAGAATTTGTATGCATTTCTCATCTTTCTGCGAGCGGTACATATCCCGTTCATCTCATCTGCCTTGGATTGGTCACTCTAAGAGTATTTGGTTAAGAGTATAAATTATGAGGCCCCCATTGTCCAGTGTTCGGCAACCTTCTGTCACGTTGTCCGTCTTACGTCCTAACATGTCTTATCAGTTCCCTCGATGCGTTCTTTTCTTAAGATGGGAGGACAAACTTCACACCAATACAAAACAATAAACAAAATTGTGCATAAAGAAAGGGAAAGGAATGTCAAAATGTATGCCAACGTTTTGTGCGATAGACCGTTTTTCAGAAAAAAAGTTTAATTTAGACTTCGTGTAAGTGGAGGGGGTGTGGTCAATTACTTTGTTTGTCCGCCATCCAATCAGTCGGTCAATCAGCCGATTGGCTTTGCAAATAAGTGCGGCCGTCAACAGATGAAGATTCTCACACGGTATAAATCACATTACGAGTAAACTAGTTTGTTTTTTGTGTGTCTCGTTCCTTGGCGTGGTGACCGAACTGGCACAGAGCCTTGCGGCAGTTTTGGGATGGTGGAACCCAGCAAGGGGTCTTGTTATAAGGCCGAACCCCTGGTGACTAAGGAGAGCTGGTCCTCACGCGACCCAAAATGGGAGCAGTATTTTATTTTTGAAGGTAAATGCATATATATTTTTTTGATGACGGGGTTATCTTCATCTACGCTTAACTGCTCTCACGGTATCGTATTAGAAACGCTGTTGCTTCCACATCAAGTTTAGTTGACCTTCAGTTTAGCAAAGGAGTCTAAAGAACACCAAAAATTACGGAGGACTTCTGATATCAGTTACTAGAGCCTTACTTTTGTTTTTTCAGGATCTACAGCGATTGACCGCATGTTGTTAAGAAGGTTAAATAATTTTAAACAGCGTTGACCCATCCCATTCTGATTTTTTACAATGCCTTCGTTTATTTTCAAATCTGCGTGGCAAATTCCTAGGTAGGAAATCATTAATAGTTAGTTAACTAACTAACTAACTAACTAGATGGCTTACGGAACCCGAAGGTTCATCACCGAACTAACCAAATCCCTCCACCGGACCCTGCCCTGGGCCACCAAAATCTAATCTCCTTCAACTCCTATCTCCCATAGATCCCGCCTGACATTATCCTCCCATCTACTTCTAGGTCTCCCCAGCTGTCTCTTCCCCTCAGGCTTCCCAACCAATGGTTTGTTAGGAACTACTAAATATAGTTGTAGAAGTTTAATCTTGTTGCTTTAAAATAAAGTAAAGGCATACAAAAAAACGTGTTTCTCGACGAGTTATCTCGTTTCTAACATTGAAGCAGTTAATAAAGTGCTAGGAAAGTTTTAATCTCCCACCCTGTTTCGTAAAAACGGAGGACAAATAACTCGAAAATCCTCTGAGGCAACTTATGGCGTTATACGAAGTATACCAAATCCTGCAAGTAACTTATCTCCCTCAATCTGCATCAGATCCCCCATTTCCACCCCTCTGTACCATCAGGGTGAGTTTAAAACGCGAAATGAAATGAATGCAATGAGACGCAGACTGATTAAACTGCCGAGATTCGGGACTTACAGTCATCAATCAACGCAGGGCCGGTCTATGGTCGTGCTTCTGCATACGTTCAGATCAGCTACTGTCCAAACAGTGCCGCTTCATTGCTATTACTTTGCAGCTCCACTAGTTAAGAAACACAATTCTTGCTCCTCTTATATTCCTTTCTACCTATGTGATGAAAATGCATTTTCTCTACTGAGATGCTGATAGTCGATTAGTTGGTTAAGAAATTCCTCGCACTTAATGGAACCCGAAGGCTCATTGTCATGTTCACAAGAGCCCGCCTTTGGACCTTGTTGGAGTCACTTAAATTTGGTTTACTTAAAACGAATTTACCTAAGGTCCCCTCTAATATTATCCTCTCATCTAAGCTTAAGTATCCCAAGGATTTTGTTGAAATGTACTAACAAATTTCTTATACATTTCCGAACTCTGTGCTTACTACATGCTGCATGTATCACAACCTTCCTATTTGTTCCTCTCTCTTTTGTTCGAATGTTCTTAATACTTCCCTTCTCAAAACCTACTCAGTTAATATTCTTTACAGTTTTTATCAATAAATGTATAAAGTGAATTTGTTGAATGGATAAGGTGAAAGTCTTATCAGACTGTCAGTGTATTTAATCTCGAAAATGATGAGTTGCCTGATTCAGTTTGATTTTAAAAGCCTGAAGTAAACGTTACGGAGCGGATTTAATTTTGTGAGATTTCAGGTTCTTATGGCGACGGGTATGAAGATAATTTTCTTCTGCGATGTTGAGCCGTGTGGTATGGTAGAAGTTTGTCGACGTTTCTTCGGTACTTGCTGCCTCCATCTTCAGGCCGAGTGGAGGCAGCAAAATATCTAAAACCTCAATTAACTTCTCACAGACTTACGTCTCAACAACCAAGTTGACATCCATCTCCATACTCACCGCCGTGAGACCTTCAAATCTCACCTGAATATCCTCGGGGAAGATATTCGTATGTCGGGCCGAGATTCTAACCGTTCAATACAACACAATTCTCCGCTTCATCGATAATATCTGCCATTGTATGGTATTGAACCAAGGTCTATTGCACGTGAGTCACCCTGTCACAGTTATTAATCGTGTCTCTGAAACATTTGCAATGGGGAAGGGAGAGGTTTATATACTAGGATTCTTGTTGGCTAATTATCCTCTAGAAAACGATAAATCACAGCTGTGTCCTATCAACTGTTAACCCAGCCAGCTAGGCAACCCGGTGATCTGACAGCGTACAAGTGAAGTTGAGGAGACTAATGAACTTAGACCTAGCGCTCACCCTCTATACTTACAGCGTGAGAGTAACGAATAGAATAATTATATTGACTTTCATTTATTGTCTTCTCCTCCAACTACGGGGAGAGGTGAAGAAAGTCATGACATGAGAAGTAAATTATTAATCCGCCCAGCTCACAGGTGTACAAACTATTCAAATTTGTTAAGTACAGGTGTATATTCATATTGAACGTTACTAGAATTTTCATTAGTCATTTCATGTCAGTAGGATAACTTGTTGTTAAGTTAAATAAGACTCTTTAAACTACCATGTGTCTGTATTATCCTCTACAGATCCAGTTTTTGATAATATCAATTTTTAAACGTTGTGAACGAAATATCTCGTTTAGATACAGAATGGGGCGCGAGGATATGATGGTTTCTGCGTGCTATCGATGTGAAATATGTCACATATTCGCGCTACATTTTGTATAAATACGTGTTTTGCTATTTAATAGTGGCAGTAAAACGTTTGCCGCCATAATTTAGAATATTATAATGACATTCTGTAGCTGACATGTAAGGGAAATGCCGAGTTGCTCCAGAAATATGGTAACAAGATAAGTAGTTTACTTGGTTTTATAGCATTATCCATGTAGAATATTAACTAAATTTGCGGTTGATATTGTGCATAATTGTTTCGAAATGTGTATCTTTAAACTAAAATTTCTCTGTCTGAACAACCGGTGGTTTATTCTTGCAAGAGTGAAGATGATATTTTATCCGCGAAATCGACACTGGGTTCCATCCAATGTTCTGTAAAATATGTATCTGGAACTCTTCTGATTTTTAAAGCCAGAACGCAAAGCCAGCAACTAAAGCGAGTCTAATGACGGCGAATTCTAGGGTGAATGGAGTTTTGCCTACTCCCCCTTACATCACTGCACATTTACCGTTCATTTAGTACTAGGGGCATTACGGTGACGAAGCCAAAGAGGATTGCGACGGGTGGGAAAAGCATTAGACGTTGCAGAATAAAGAAGAACAGCATTTTGGGTTTAAGACATCAGAAGGGACAACTTTGGAGGCTGTGGGGGGCCCTCAACATTAAAATTAATCATTAAGAAATATTTTAGGAGCATAAAAAGTATTTACATTAAAACAGCTGTATACAAACTGAAAGACAAAGTAAGGTCCAACGCGAATTATAGGATAAAATTTGAGTGTAAATTTAGGATGTCCGAAAAGTCGAAATAAATCAGTCTAGCGGTTCTATATACTTATGATTGTCACTGTTCAACAAATGTTTGTATTAATTAAATTGTGAATTTAACTTGGCACAGTTACACTACTCGTTCACGATTTTTTACACTTCGAAGTGAAATTATGAACTTAATTTTGGCAACAACATTTCCTCCACATCAGATGCAGATCTACGCTTGTTCGTGCTGGATACTATAATTTTGTTTGTTGAAACATTAACCAAAATTTGAAAATGAGGTAGAGTTTCTAAAGGTTAGATTCTACCTTCAGCTTGATTTTTCTGACAGTCTGTTACGAGTACTTTAGTTGGGTCGATTTTAAATCCATTAGTCAATCAATCAATTGCAGTACATGGAGAGTTTATCTGTAGAGACAAGTAGCTGAGTGACATAGTAACATCGCTTGGACTTGATGAACTGATGTCTATTGCAGACCCTCCCCGGCTGGAAAAGTCTCCACTGTTGGCGAATGGCTACAATCATCCACCCACTCACCTAAACCACATGCAGTTCATGCAGCTGAACCACCACCCAGCTGCAGCGCACACCGCCATCTTGTCACCCGCGGGAATCCCCCACCATGGGCTCGCCCGAGCAGATGGCTCAATCATCAAGAACCAGGGTATTCCGGGAATGGACGTAATTGCAAGGTGAGTCATTTCCATCTTCCACACCGGCCGGCTTTATTAAGTGCATTCTGTCGCCACATTTGAAGGAATGAGGCAAATTGATGGATCGTCTGAGATTTGACTAATCGGATTTAATGCAAATGTAAGTATGAATTTTTGTAATTTAGGGAATGAATTTATTACAATAATGTATGCACTTTAAATTGTGTGTCCTGTTTGCAGACATTTTTACTTTCACCTTTGAATGTATGCTAGGTGGTCGTAGGGCCGAGATTAGGTTTGTGACTGATAGAATGTCTCGGACCGGAAATGTAGTGAACAGGAAACTTATTGGTTTCATATATCGAATAGGAACATTAAAATATCAAGGCCCACACAGAAGAATTAAAGACCGGGGATAAATGCTGTGACCGAGACTTAAGTGGTGTTTTCATGCTCTGCGGGGACGTAGGTCACTGACCTTTGTTAACCCAGTGTGAAGAAGTGTGATTAGCAAAAGGTCCGTCTTAAGTGAAACCTCTTCACTTTTCTACGGCTTTAATGCTGTTTAATCAGCTTAGGACGACTCGGAAGAAAGAAGATTCTTGTGGCCTCTATGACAAGCTCGCCTTTTATCCAATTTCATAGCTTACGTTTAAAACCCTGAAAAAATTATTACCTTTCTTCTCTTGTCTCACCAAGACGTTTGTTAAAAGGTTGAGAAAATAATGGAAATCAGGAAATACTTAGGTCGGTAAGCAATAGTAAAACGACAAGAAACAGTGGTATATACCGACAAGTTTACACGGCATCGTAACAGAAACAATGTTGTCGTCCTATTGCCGTTTGAAGTCTCAGGAGAAGAGAGTCCTCCTTGGTCGAGTAATGAAACACAGGCATGGGGAAGACGTGAAAACAGAATAATAATTTCTTCCCTTATTTTATCATACATTGTCTCCATACTTCCGTATTCTTCTTCTTCTTCTTCTCCTTCCCCTCCTCCTCCTCCTCCTCCTCCTCATCCTCATTCTTCTCCTCCTCCTCTTCCACCACCACTCTTCATCCTTAATTTCCACTTTATTTTTCTTGTTTCCATATACATCGTTTCTCCGCTATATCCTCATTTCCCTACTCCATCTTCTTCAATGTCCCGACCCTCACAGTTGTATTTCCAGGATATAAAAGGACTAAGATTTTTATGTGTTCATAAGAATGATCATTCTCTAAAAATGAAATTCACACCACAAGATCGTGAAGTTATGAATTTGAACCCACTGTAAGAGCCATAATAGTTGGATGACCGGAGATCAATTCCCGTAAGTGCAAGATTTTTCTCTTTGCCACAACGTCCACACCGAATGTGGAATCAACTTATCTCGTATCCAAAGGTTGCTAGAATTATTTCCTCTGGGATAATTCGACCACTGCACCGGTGTGACTCCAGACCTAACCGAAACAGAAGCGTCTTCAGTTCGGTCCTATCCTGGCCATTTCTCGGCTTTAGAAGCACAGAAGAAGTCCTCGATAGAATTTTCGGAATAATGGTCGTGGAGTTCCAGAGCTCGAGAAGAATCTTTTGTGCGAAGAAACACATCCATAATGTTCGTCTTTTGTGGAAGAGAGTGGCTGTGGTTCGAGGGGAAGAGATGAGGCTTCACTGATCTGTAGAGGCGCACTGAGATTAGTAGCGAATTGGTAGTCATACATCATTTACTGATGCTTCTTTCCAAAGGAGAGTAAGAAATTTCAAGAAAATTTCATATTGAGAGCACAATGATGTTAGGGAGAATGAAAAAGTTGGCGTACAAAAATATTCTTAGTGTGGGTACAATACTGAAAGCAAGAACATATTTAGCTTCTTAGAGTTGTTCATGATAAGATTTGTGGAGACGTTGTTAATACTTATTCTTCCTTATTAAACAATGACGTTTTAAATGTTTTTTGTCACAGACATTGGTACTCGTGTGCAAGAATACACGACATCGAAACCCAGAAGACATCAATCGATAATTAATTTATGTTTGAATATTTGCCCCGTTTTATTTTAAGCATAAATGAAATTGTTCGTGTATCGGTTTTATAAGAAAGAATTCACCGTACAAGTAGTATGACGTAAAATATGAAAGGACTTGTGTTTGAACTATACGAACGGAAATATCTGTGAGATACAGACCACAGAACGCGTCTGAAAAACAAGTCTTCGCTTATTCTATGTTAGTACGCACACTTTTCCACTGTTCATTACTGTAGTATCAAGACTGGACTAATTCCGATTCTTGTAGTATGTCGACTATCTTGGTGTTTCTTATCTCACGATTACAGATTGTAATGCGATCATACCAGTAGGTTTATAATTTGGTAATAAAACACTAATTGTGAAGATAAAAGGTAAGTTTATCTGTTGGCATTAATTAAAACCACACTATTTATACGTATGGGCTCGTCGAGTTATAGCACTGCTATTTCGGGCCTAGATTGAAGTGAGTAGTTAGTTTGACGCTACAGCTGCTTTACCCTCGGGAAAGGGGTCCCGGTACCCATTTGATAGTCTGGGCGGACCCCAGAGCCGGTCTGGACGCAGAAGCTAGGAAAGAATTTTACTATTGCCGGGAATCGAACCTGAGCCATTCACGGATATTTGTAATGCTGTGTGAAATTTATAGAGAAAACTATTTTCAGCCTTATGACTGGTGCATCACGGAACGAGCTCGAAATATTTTCAAAGTATAGATGCGTTTCTAAGTGATGCCACGGAAATAAAATTGTGTTCGTATGTTTTGTACTAACGTATAATACAAAGTAGATGCTTGTGTTTTTTTGTTGTTGGTGGTTCTGAGCAGATGTTTAACAACCTGACCATTAGCTGTGAGGTCAGTTGATTTTTTTGTTATAAACGTGTTTCTTCTATAGGACAATCAATATTAGGAATAAACAAGGCGTTCCGGGCAGAACTTACAAAGCCAGCATTCCTATTACAGACTTGTATCCCTATAAATCTCGTGTTCTTAATGTTATATTTAGGTAATATAAGATTGTAACCCAGCAATAACATCCAATTTAAACCTTAGGTTAACATGCTGGGCTTGTGCGCAGGTGTTCATAAGAACTAACCCCAATTTAACCAAAATTATTTGTTGTTGCAAAGGTGAATGATTATGTAACAGAATGTTTTTCTGTATATTATTATTAGAAATTATTAGCTACTTTAGTACAGATTATGTCTACGTCAAATTTTGTCGGATATAACCTTAAAGTTCGCATCATTTCCATGTCTGTGACTGTGGACGTATGTAATCCATATTCATGCTGAATTTAATATTCTTAGTTCAATTTGTTATCACTCTGATACTGAAAGCCATACGAAAGTTTTCTCACGTCCGGCATTTTGTATTATATATTCTTTGAATTCACATGACAGGTAATGTATTTTTTAGAATATTTATTTCCGTACATAATTTCAGGACTCGATAATCAGTGGACCTAGTTTGAAAGTCACCTTTTAAGTTTGTGTATTATTATTGAATATGGGGAATTTAGAAGTACAAGCTTCGTGTGGCTTTCGATGGTATAACTCTAGTACCAAATTTCGTCAAAATTCGGTCAGTTGGTTTTCAAAACTTAAAAGGAGGACACACAAACTGGACAGCATGATGATCTCATAATCCGTTTTTTATGATAGAAGAAAATAGGAAAGACAAATTTATGAACATACATGAAGTAGAATATTGGAAGAAAATAGGAAAGACGAATTTATGAACATACATGAAGTAGAATATCATCTGAATCCTATGTTAAAGTGAATAAATAAGATACAGGTAATCCTGCTGTGGAATAAAAAGCGGAAAATTTATACTTTCATGAGAAATGGCCAATTTATTCTTATAAATAATTGTTTTGAGTATCCCAATACAATCTCTCGTAATAGTTAATAAATGATAATTGTGATGATGATGATGATAATAATAGCATTTACAACTAGGAATTCCTTAACATTATTGTTAAATGTGACCTGTTCCTCTATTATGCCTGAGGAAGTATAAAACAAATTGTATTAGTTAAATATTTAACTACCTCAATATTATTAAAATTATTATCACGATCAATGCCTACGCGTGATTATGGAAGTATGAAATTTGACGATATCACATAATAATAGCGAAAACACACCGATAAGCTTTTTAATTTATTAGTGAAATTAATGAGATTAAGATGGACTGAGAATGTATACTTTTGTGGTAAAATCTATTCCATAGTGCCACTTGCATGACAGAAGAACATGGAAGGGCAATTTTGAGATAGATCTTGGGGACAATACATTTTTGAAATGGATTTCGATCAGGATAATATCAAATGATGAGTTTTGTCGTTAGTGACGATGAACAATCAGGTTATTTTCATTGAGTAAACAGTTAAATTTGAGCCAGATTATGTCTGTGGTTGAAATGGCCTTCTGCCTGCAAGTTATATGGTTCTTATCCTCTTCTCCTTCTTCAGACCGGTTCTGGGAACCACCCAGTCTCCTAACCACTGCGTACCAGTGATCTTTCCATTAAAGTTACCGTAGGTCGAAGCCAAATTCTGACCTTCATTTAGTACAGAGTTTAAGACTTAGTGGAGCCTCACCTCCACTTGTACATACGTCTTCATGGCTTGAACACTAAAACATTGCCATTATTATGACTCTCATTCTTGTTACAATTACTGGAAGAGACAGACATAGAAGAAGCTTTCTGTCTTCTGGGTTGTTGCGCTGTGTAGTCTGGTCGATGTTTACCAACGTTTCAGAGGTCATACTGCCTCCGTCATCAGGGCGATTCTTAGTATGAAGATTTCTGTCTTCTGGGTTGTTGCGCTGTGTAGTCTGGTCGATGTT